TTTTTCCGATGAATCTGTGTTACCCATCTTAAATAGTAGAATAAAAGGATTAGACTTAGGTTTCATATATAAGACATTTAACGATGCAGTCTGTGTTTCATCCCGTAGCTGTAAACACCCCGACAGTGATATGGACCAAACGGTGAAAGGTGTTATTTATACCGCAACTACTTATACACTCTTCCACAGGAATTCCAATACTGGGCTGGACGACTTATAAGTACCAATAGACATAAAAAGTTTGCGGGTAGAAGCGGGGATCATCAATACAGCCTCCTACCCGCCATGTACTGAAAAGCCATGTAACTAATTTGCAGGACGGATATGTGAGAGAAGGAGAAGAAACAGAGAAAGACCAAACAGAGTAAGAGAGAAGTGGAAGAAAAGGGAGTTAACTCTAGTTACGGGGAACTATTTCGATGATGAAAAGAGCTTTTTATAACATTTTATAAAAACTTAAATTTATAGAAATTTTACTTTTATTATAGAAACTTTTTGTTTTTATAGACATTGTAGAAATAAACATTATAGAAACTTTTTATGAAAATAGTATGCTGACTAGGGGTTTAATATCGGTATCATCAGGAATGATGAATTTTCTGAGAACAGATCGGTTCTTAAAGCAGAACCTGAGAACGGAGCGTTCTGTTTTGTCCATACCAAACTTTTTATGTCTATAGGTACTTACAAGTCATCCAGCTTAGTAATGGAACCCATGTGGAAGAGTGCATAAGTAGCTGCGATATAATAGCATCTTCTTTCACCGTTTGGTCCATATCATTGTCGGGGTACCCTCCGTGATTTACAGTGAATGGGTAGTCCAAGGTCTTATTGTATACGCTAAAAATACATTTGCCCTTTTGACACAAAATATCGAGGTCTAAAAAGAAGCCCTTTGTCCGGAGTAAGTGGTGTAGAGTTGCAGACTGGAACCATAAATTATACTGGCGATTTCAGTAAAGTTGGCGCAGTTAACAATAGGGATGTCATCGATATATCGAAATAGATGAAAAATCACTGGATTCTTATGAAGGAACCGATACTCCATGAGTGACAGTGTGAGATCGGCAATATCAGGACTAGCACTACCGCCCATTGGTACACCCTGTACTTGCTTGAAAATGTAACCACTAAAACGTACATATGTTTCCTGGAGAATGATCTGAAGCGTCACCTTGATCTCATCCTTAGTATAAGATATAATGTCACCTGTGAATTCGTTAGCATACCAAGTTTGGACATTACTTAGTCCAATATATCCCTTTCCCGAGTTGGTAAAGCAGAGGTTAATGAGAAAGAATAGATTATCAATAATCTGAGAATACGATAGACTAGTGGAAAGGTTGCTGAAGTCTGCAGTATGTAAAAATTCAATATTATTGCTCAGTTTGGTCAGCTTTTGTATCACAGTTAATGACTGCTAATGCTAAAGTAAACGGGTCGCCCACTGCGAATGAAGTTTGGGAATAGCATAAATGAGGGGGATGGATATGTCATCACTGGGGGCATGAAGCTGAAAATTACCCAGAATTTTATGGTGTTCGAGTACCAATTTTTGAGCGGAGAGCGATACTAGTCTGTATACAACATACTCTCGAATATGGTTAAGGCTGCCAAAACTGAACTCATTGCAATGCAAAGAAGCTAGAACTCCTTGCACATAACTATATAATTGTTTGGCGTCTTGTCAACAGACGTTATGACAAATTGTCAGTGCGTCTCACGTAAGGCTCTATCAAAACCAATATTGATTTGAAGAGAAGGATAGCAATGATTAGCAGCTTGTCACCGTGCTACAGTTAATATCCCTTGTTTGAAGCTGTCATATTCGAGGATCGTTGTGGGGGTACGATTTGCCATAACAGAGATGAAAGTATCTAAAGCCTTGGAGATATCAGTTATAACTTCGTCTGCAGTTTTAATCACCGTGAGTCTGAATTTAGTACCCTTCTTCATTACTTCCCTTAGTTGCCGATTACGGATAATGTCTACGTTACCTGTAACAATGTGACCAGAGGAGAGGAAAGGTGAACGCGCACATTGACAAGGTGAAGATAACAGGTTAGCAAGATCCACTGGTTTATCATTGAGGCGTCAAAGAAAAGTGGCATAGTTCATAATGCGGCAGCTTATAGGATTTTGGTACTTGAAACTGACAGTAATACGAGAGAAAGGATGTATTGGGAACAAACGTCTTTCTGTAGCATCATGAAAAATGGAAGGGAATTTGAAATTGACAACAGCGTTTTCTAGGTAAGGAACAGTGAATCAGACAGTCATTACGACGTGTATGTGCTGATGAGGCTTCGAGCCGGAAAAGTAAGAAACCTTGCAGAATGCAAGTTTTTGCAAAAGGCTCAGTAGCAACGCGTTGCCGAAGCAATATAACAGTACTGTTGTCAGAACTGTAGAGTTTATTAAGTAGAATTAACGAAGTGATTTGCAAAAAATTCGTCAAATGAGACAAGTGGAGGTGGATGCCGTGCGATTGTGACCAGTATTCATGAAAAAAAAAGCCCAGCTCACAAGTGACAAGTGACCATTGATTTCCTTTGACCATGAGCCCAATTTTAGTGTTGCAGAAGCAAGCTATGCATTTGCCAATTATTTATGCATGCATACCTGTGGTAATGGTCACAACTCCAGAAGTCCTAACCAGCATATTTAGATGAAGCTGCCTGAGCATTCGTATGTCCTCGTCAATAGGCAGCCCTCGTATACGCACCTGAAAATTTCATATCGTCGAAACAAAAACTAGTATGGTTTAGTCATAAATCCAGGATGAAAAATTACAAACGGATAATATGAGTTGTTCGAAGATAGCTGCGTAATCTTACAATCAAGGAAAACTCTGACAAACCAATTCGGAGAATCACATTGACGTGAAAAGCTCAGACCCGAAGAAATTGGAAACATTACTAGCTGCAGCACCGATGGCGAGAAGCACAGTGGTGGAACAGCAAACGATAAAATTTCGAAACCAAGGTAACATACCTTAACTTCAGGAGCGATGCGAGGAAAGAATGGAAAGATCGACAGAGTCACTTCGGTCACTGCGCGATCCATATAGCCAAGCACCTGCAAAAACAACACCTCATCAGGGGAATCAGTGCACACGGGATAATTTTTGAAAACGCTAATATCACCTGCAGAGGTGCTTCCGGCAGAAAGTAACAGATGTTTTGCTCGCCACTTTCACTGGCCAAATCATCATAATCCACTTCCAGTGACTCGCGATTTTCTGCCACCATCGAATTGACTGCTTCGAGATATTTCAGCTTTTTAGATTTTGGATCTTTGAAACCACGGATGAAACTCTTGAAGCTGGAACAGCCGGCCCACTTAATACAGAGCAGCGAAATCAGTGTTGGTGAGAATGATAAAGTTATGCTACCAATCTAACTCCCGCTAGTTATTATTCGGTGCCAAGATTAACAAAACCGTCCGATGTGGAAACCCATTGTCACAGAAAAGCACCTAAATGCTAGCATTCCAATGCCCACAGTGCAACTTCTTGTTCAAGTGCATTCGTGTTCCACAAAGGAACTCTTAAAAAATTATGCGAATCACCAGCTTAATACAGTACTGTCTGACAACGCTATAAATCAGATCAACGGAAGACATGTATTCCGGATGATTTCATTCCTGTAGATCACTGCTTTCATCGCAACAACAATTTCTGCTTAGATGTGCATACGTACATGTATGTACGCATGTGGTATGTATGTATGCATGTATGTGTATGTGAAGCAGAATGAATTAGTACATTAAGCTACAAACCGTCTTATAATTTCTCGACCCACAGCTTCATCAGAAACATGCTGACGTGTCGATCTTCCTCGTAAATTTTCCAAAATATCAATGGGGATTTCCTCCTCCTCCTCCTCGCCGCCAGCCACTTCCATCTGCCCACCCTCAGATTCATCTCTTCGGCGTCGAATTCGCGCACGCCGTCCAATGTCCTCATCTTCCTGCAAAAGCACTGCGTCGGTGATCGTACCCGAATCAGTGAACTTCCGAAAAGCAATGCCATCGTATTATTAGATTTTGCCAACGAAACATCCAGTAACAGACAAAAAGCCTCAGACCAGTGATATACGCAAAAAAAAAGATGAGTCCTAACCCTCTCATAAAGTAAAGCATCTTCGTCCATCAAATTATCGCGTTCATCCATTTCGCGTTCCGCCGCACGTCGTGCGCCCTCTGACAATTCCGCAAGCTCTGACGCATCGTCCATTCCAGACTGCGAGTAAACATCCAGTTCTGGCTGCGGGCGATAATCCCTACAAATAAGCCATTTCAGTAACCACTACGAAGACCAGTTGAACATAACGTATGCTCGAAATAATTTCGAAAAATCGAAAATTTCGAGAAAATGAAAAGTTACCGTTCCATATCGTCGCCAAAAAGGTTTTCTCCTTCTTCTTCGTCCTGTACTTCATTTTGCTCATCGCCGTATAATTCGGCCAGCGCATCGTCTTCATCTGCCCCAGCACTTCGCCCAAATACATCTTCGGCAGTTCCTTGTGATCGATCGCCATCGCCACCGTCACCTACAACTTTTCACATCACTTCTTTGCTCTATGCCAAAATTTCATTTATCTTAATAGTAAGCGTCCGTCTTTATGCAGTTCCTTACAATTCGATCAACTACCAGTTCAAGCAGAAAGTGTAGTACCCTGTTTGGGCAGGAGTGTTTGATTCCTACCGTGAAACAAGTAACCAACGTCAAAATCCCCTATGAAAAAGAGCATATTTAATTTTTTATCACTAACATTTTTAACAATAAACACTATGATTTGTGTACTATTCATTTTGATCGGACCGAAACATTCCTCTTAGGCACTTTTCTCTCTGCATTTTGCTACAATTTTTTTCATAAATTATTTAATTGTTTAATGTTCTCCCTT